TGCCTCTCCAGCGTCCTGCTCTTGCTGATGCGTCTCCTCCTTGTCAAGTTGATCTTTTCCCATCTCTTTTGCATCTGCAACCGTGTTGACATCTTCTGGTTGCCTCTCTCCAGCAGCAGTTGCTTTTTGATGCTGCTCTTCACTGCCATTTTGCCTCTCCACCACTGATGACTCTTCCCTGATGTGCACATCGGCTTGGCATGCTTCATCCATGTGTTCGTGCTTTCGGTGATACGTTTTGTGCGCGCGGGATTGCAGGTCAATTGTGAAAAGTGAAGGACAACTAAAGCTCAAGTGATAAACTTGATGAAGTTTCCCTGGGTGTCATGGACTCACCAGCTTCACCGCTAACCCAAGCATGCTAAAGCCGAACAGCATGAAACATGGGGTCAAGAGCGGGTCAATTGAAAACGGCTTGGATCGCATGATTGGTCATGCTTCAACGTCTCGAATCTCAAATCATGCAATCTGAAGTCTTTCAGCACGCACGAGGCAGCCATCTAACGCCTCCCGCACCTGACAATGGAGTGGCTGAAAATCGCTGAATTGTGAACCAACGAGAAGCTTAAAACTATGTCCATGCAGGTTGGGAGTGGGAAGTCTCAGGCCTTTCGTTCATCGCCTTCCTTCAGGGCTGCAGCAGCCTTGAGGCAAATGTCGCCACACCAATTCGGATGCTGTTAGGTTGGAGGCCATTGCACTTAGGTTGGAGGCCGTTGCACTTAGGTTGGAGGGACCATTGCGATTGGGTTGGAGACGATTGCTATTAGGTTGGAAGCCATTGCTATTAGGTTGGAAGCCATGGCTATTATATAGGTTGGACGCCGTTGCTAGTAGGTCGAAGGCCATTGCTATAGGGTTTGAGGCCATCGGTAGTGGCTTGAAGGCTATTGCTATTAGTTTGCAGGCCATCGTATTAGGTTGGAGGCCATTGCTAGTAGGTTGAAGGCCGTTGCTATAGGGTTTGAAGCCATTGGTAGTAGGTTGAAGGCCATTGCTATCCGTTTGCAGCCCATCCCTACTAGGTTGGAGGCCATTGCTTCTAGGTTGGAGGCCATTGCTATTAGGT